ACTGTGATGGAGTTCCTGTGGGCCCAGAATGTAGGTGGGAGTGGGGGATGGTTGCACCTCCATTCACCAAGCAGGTGTGGGGTATAAGAGTAACAAGAGGAATGTTGTACCTTTTCAGTCTTGCAGGTCCGGAGGGTTCTTGGGGTTGCTGGAAAGCAGAACTTGTTCTTAAGCCCCAGGAATTTGCGAGTGTGCTGTCTCTTTAAATATCCAGAATAGTCAAGCTGCTTTTAGATCTTCAAAATGGTGGTGCCCTCTGGACCGGCAAAAGTCCACAGCTCAGCCCGCCTTTCTCTTCACCTTCTCCATTTATTCCCCAGCCACCGGAACAGTCCTCTGTGCATCCCTGGCTAGCAGGGCTGAGTTTTAGGTTAATTCTTAAGTCCTACCACCACTAGGGAATCTCTAAGCTGTCTGTGCTATCAGGATCGCTGTCAGACTGCAGCTCTGTATGTCTCCTTTTTTGGTATTTTCATGCAAATTCTTCTGTTAGTTGAGGTTTAGTTCACTTCTATGTCCTTCCCTTCAAGGCTCAGGGGTCCAGAATTATCTTCTGTGTCTGTGTTAATTCGTTTCCCTTTTCTTTGTTGAAGAGGGTCTGTGCAGTCTTTCTGCCTAGTCCGCCATCTTGCCAGAACTCCCAATTCATTAATTTCTACATTAACAATTTAGTGATAACTAATTACATTTTTTAAAATGTACCACCATTCTCACCCTCCTTTTCTGAGTTATTCTTCCCTCATTAACATTAACATTAAACTCAGTGCCCCCTGAGGTTCCTATGTAATCTTTCAAGTGGCTGTTGTCAGTTTGATTCATATAAATCCAAAACTACTGCTATTGTCAGCATGTCCTTTTCCATTCCCTGGAGAATGGTATCATGCTTGGTAAAGTGGAGGGTCACCAAAAAAGGGGAAGGCCCTTAACAAGATGGATTGACAGAGTGGCTGCAACAATGGACTTGGGTATAACAAGGATCTTGAAGCTGGCACAGGACTGGGCAGTATTTTGTTCTGCTGTGCATAGGGTCACTATGAGTCATAGACGACTTGACGGCACCTAGCAACAACAACAACAGCAACAACAACTGCTATCGAGTTGATTCCAACTCATAGTGACCCTCTTTGGGTTTTGTAGTGGAATATGTTTGTTGTTGTTATGTGCTGTCAAGTCAGACCCGACTCATAGCAACCCCTACTTGGGTTTCCGAGGTGGTATCACTACGGAGGTAGATTGCCCAACCTTCCTTCGAGGAGTGGGTGGTGGGTTTGAACCACCAGCCTTCTGGTTAGCAGTCAAACGCCTTAGTCACTGACCACCAGAGCTCCCTTATAGATAGTTCTTAAAAGCACGTAACACTCAAGGCAGACCTTTAATTAAGCCAAACTATAAATTGTTTGGTTTTAAGAAGACTTCAGGAGATATTTTTAGTTTAAAGATTATGTGAGGGCAATAGTTTCAGGGGTTCATCCACCCTCCATGGTCCCGGGAAGTCTGGAGTCCCTGAGAATTTTAAATTCTGTTTTGCGTTTTCTCCTTTTTGATCAGGATTCTTCTGTGAAATGGATTAGCACTCTTGACAAAGTTTGGTTCTTAGCCCTCTTATTATTTATAGGTGTTGGGTTCAAAAAGGTGTAAATATGTGGCTGTTGAGTAAACAGTAGTGAGAGTGATTTTAAGTGTGGAGTGATTGTAGCTTGCCTGGATTTGATTTGAGCCATTTATCTTTGAGCCTGAGTTTTCCTTCTGAGAATTGAAAATGATAAACTTTAGCCTTTCTTTCTCAGTTCAGCAAAAGCTCTAAGATTTTAAAAGCTTAACTTGAAAATTGAATTGAGCAGAGGAGATAAGATGGTGTCGTGGTTCTTGGTGAAAAAGTGATCCACCAAAGTAGAAAAATGTCTTTATATATATATTTTTTTCTAATCTATTCCCATGGTCAGTATGTCTCACTTAAAAAATGACATTTAAATTTACATGATTATATGGTAGTTCTTGTGGAAGGGTATTTTTTTCCCCTTACCAAGTTTAACTCATGCTCCAAAAGCTTGGGAAAGTTATAATGTGTCATTTTTCTTTACTTTTTAGTGCAACAGAATGGAATTCGACACTGTTCCTATGGATCTTCCCGGAAACATCTCTATGTCGATAAACATACAAGAGTTATTTGCCAGGGTTTCACTGGTAAGCAGGTACGTGTATCTAGATTTATTTTATTTTTAAGATTTAGAGGAAAGATAGTAAAAAGAAAAATGAGCTATTTTCTGTTTTTCAGTATCTCAAAAATAATAATACATGATTTTTCCAGAAAAATTGTGTAATATAGCACTGGGGTTATATTGTAGGAGAAGATTAGGTGCTATAGTCTGCTTATAAAATGAAAATTATGTTTAGCAAAACTTACCTTGAAAATTGGATTGAGAGGAGGAGATAAGATGATGTCCTTGTGACATACTTCTCCCAACCCTTCAAAAATAAACCTGAAAAACCTAGTAAAACAGATACAGATCATAATTCTGGGACTCTGAGCATCAAATGAGGGGATAAAGAATTGGATTAAACACTGATTGGAAAGGGAGACAGATGAAAACAGTGATTGAGGAGAGAGATGCAGTGGGACTTCACACTGTGTTTGGCCTTTTTGAGAAACAAGGCAGCATATACCGGCAAGGAGATGCCAACTTCACAGAATACTCATTGGGACAGAGACACGGTGTGGCTAGATACAGAGTGAAACAAGGTGAGCAGAATGAGAGCTGGATCTGGGATAAGAAAATGCAATTTTCTGGTACATTGGGCCCATGCCAATGACATGGCATGTGTTTGGCCTTTTTGAGAAACAAGGCAGCATATACCGGCAAGGAGATGCCAACTTCACAGAATACTCATTGGAACAGAGACACAGTGTGGCTAGATACAGAGTGAAACAAGGTGAGCAGAATGAGAGCTGGATCTGGGATAAGAAAATGCATTGGCATGGGCCCATGCCAATGACAAGTGACCAGAGAATTCTGTTCTGGTTTCTTAACCCTACCTTACCAGTGATCAGGGGTGAGGCCTCTCCACCCTGACCAATCTGGGGACTAGGGACACCCATTCAATTTGCTCAGAACACCTCCCAGCAACAGCCACCCACCCCACCACACTACAGCCAGACTGAGCCTCATGCCTGTGGAGTGCAAGCCACATGCCCATGAACTCTGCTGTTGGAGGTGTATGTGTAACTGGGCCAGATGCCTGGCTCCTGCTGCCTCCCCAGGCACTTGCTCCTATGGATTGTGGGACAGCCAGCTGCTGGTGTGAGTCCCAGTGGATACCTCTACCTTTGAAGCATGGGTGACCATTGTCACATCACCCTCTTTTTTTTTTTCTTTTCTTTTTACCCCTTCTTCTTCCTTTTCATTTTTATTTTTGTTTTGTTCCTTTTTCTCTAATTTTTACCCATTTTTTTTCTCATCTCTCATTTTTTTTCTGCCCCTTCCAGTGGGAGGTGGATATTATTTCCTCCTAGCAGCCACACCTACTACTCTGTCCTACAGGTGACTCTCACTACTCCCTATTGCACCAGTGGATCAATGACAGGCGATGTGCAATACCTGCTCACCCTGACTATAGCTGCTCTTCATGACCAGCAAAGAGAGACCTGTGCCCACACTCCCACCAGTACCTCCAACCACTCAGAGACAGGTGGGGAGTGCCCCACTACTGCCAAACTAGTAACCAAAGTAGCACACTTACCCTGCCCCCTGGATATATCAAAGCAAAGTGAAACAAAAAATCAGAGTGAAACATACCAACACATAATCAAATACCAGAATGTCTCAGAGACAACAGACAACTTCAAATCAAATAAAGAAACAAGATAAGGTGGCTCAAGCAAGTGACCAAAATAAAGAACCAGGAAATACCCCAAAGAGCAGATAATAGAACTACCTGGTAAGGAATTCAAAAGATACATATATATATTTCTAAGAACTCACCAAAACCACAAATGAAATCAAGGAAAACAGAGAATACTGTAGAAAAATTCAGGAAAACAATAGAAAACAAAATGACAAAATAAATAGACAATTAGAAACCATACAAAAACAGCAATTAGAAATCCAGAAGATTAACACTAAAGTTTCAGAGATAGATAATACATTTGAAGGACAAAAGAGTAGAATTGAATGAATTGAAGAATGGATCAGCGAATTGGAAGACAAATGCCTTGACACCAATATGTATGAGGAAAAATCAGAGAAAAAGAGTGAAGAAAGTCTAAAAATTGTGTGGAACACTGTCAAGAATTACATGTGATCAGAATTCCAGAAAAGGAGGAGGAAAAAAAAAACCCAGAATTGTCAAAGATTTGTTGGCAGAAAACTTCACAAATATCCGGAAACACGTAAAGATATCCATCCAAGAAGGTCAGTGGCCATACAGGATAGACCCCAAAACAAAGTCACCAAGACATACCATAATCAAACTTGCCAAAACCAAAACAAGGAAAAAATCTTGAGAGCATCTTGGGAAAAATGAAATGTTATCTACAAAGGAGAACCAATAAGAGCTTTGATTTCTCAACAGAAACCATGCAAGCAAGAAGGCAATGGCATGATGTATATAAAACCCTGAAAGAAGATAATTGCCAATCAATAATTATGGCCAGTAAAACGGCCCCTCAAATATAACAATGAAATTAGGACATTTCCAAATAAACAGAAATTAAGGGATTTTGTGAAAGCCAGACCATCCTTACAAGAAATACTAAAAGAGTCCTTTGGACAGAGAACCAACAATATGAGATAACCAGAGATTAAGACACATGACAACATCACTTGGAAATGATCACAGAAAAAGAATTCTCAAAAATAAAATAAATTTATAAGACTGAAAATAGAGAACTAGAGGTGTCAGTCTATAAAAAGAACAACTACAAAGCAAAAAGAGGGAATAAATGTTATAATTACAGAACTTAAAAATGGAGAGAAGTCAAGACGATATCGATATAGCACAGATTGTTTCAGACTTAGAAAAAGAAAATAAATTACAGGGTAACCACAAAGAAAATTAGTAAACCTTCTAACCAAAATAAGAAAGAAAAAAATCCTAAGTGTTAGTAAACACACAATCAACAGTGAAGAATATCTGATAGCAAAATGAACTTAGCACAGAAAAAAATATGTGGAATACAGAAATCATCAACACCACAATAAAAAAATACAAAAGAATGGCAGCAGTAAATTCATACCTGTTAATAATTACACTTAATGTAAATGGACTGAGTATACCAGTGAAGAGAAAGAGAGTGGCACAATAGATAAGAAAACAAGGTCTATCAATATGCTGCTTATAAGAGATTCACCTTAGACAAAGACTTCAAGGCAAAAACTAACATAAGGGACAAGAAAGGATGTTATATAATGATTAAAAGGTCAATCCAGCAAGAGGACATAACTAATAAATACCTATGCACCCAGTGAAAAAAAAACCCAAAATACATAAAGGAAACATTAACAGAATTGGAAAGAGAAATAGAAAACTCCCTAATAATATTAGAAGACTTTAAGATACCACTTTGAATGAAGGAAAGAACATCCAGAAAGAAACTTAGCAAAGATACAGAAGATCTAGACACCACAATCAACCAATTTAACTTCATAGACATTTACAGAACACTCCAGCTCATCTAGCATGGCAACAGTCCTCCATTTTGCATTTCTTTCCTCATCTAACCAGGACCTGTGCTGAACAAACATGTCTAAGAGATCTGCAGTTGGCATTGATCTTGGCACCACCTACTCCTGTATGGTTGTCTTCCAGCATGGAAATTTGAGATAACTGCAAATGACCAGGACAACTGAACTACCTTAAGCTATGTTAAAAGGATAAATATTATATGAGTCCACTATTATAAAAATGTTTTTGCACAGAAAGAAACATTCTTTGATGGTTATGAGGGATAGAATGGGTAGAGAGGGACAATCACTAACTAGGTAAGAGACATGTGGTAGTAATATGGTGAAGGGAAAGTCAGTATACAAAAAGGGGATTACCTGCACAATACCACTAAGGAAGACATGGAGAGGTGGACAAGAATTAAAGACCACAAAAGTAAATCCTGTGATGCATATAATCCTGCATTATCAGTAATAACAAATATTAATATACAAGTGAATATATAGATAGGCAAGATGAACAAGTATGGGTGGGTGAGAGGGACACCACCAATGACCATATATAGATTTGACAGGGGATAGTTAGCGTAGTGCTGGCTGTACTTGACTGCTAACCAGAAGGCTGGTGGTTCAAACCCACCAGCCACTCCTCAGAAGGAAGGTTGGGCAATCTACTTCTGTAGTGATGCCGCCTCGGAAACCCAAGGAGGAGTCGCTATGAGTCGGGTCCAACTTGATGGCACATAACAACAACAACAACAACAGTTGTGGATTTGTATATGCTGTAAATATATCTATGTATACACTAGAGCAAAGAGGAGCAAAGTTAATGAAGAAAATAACTTGGCTATAACCAAACACCTTGAAGGAATGACCCGTTGGCCCTGGGGGCTCAAGACCATAGTCTCTGGGGAGAGTAAGGTCAGTTGGTAAAACATAGTCCACAAAGGTATTCTACATCCTACTTTGGTGAGTAGTGACTAGGGTCTTAAAAGTTTGTGAATGGCCATCTAAAGTGCAACTATTGTTCTCTCCTGTCCAGAGCAAAGAAGAATGAAGAAAATCAATGACAGTTAGTCCAAAGTACTAATAGACCACATAAACCTCAACCTCCACCACCGTGAGGCCAGAAGAACTAGATGGTGTCCAGCTACTAGTGCTGACTGTTATGAAAGGGATCACAATAGAAAGTCCTGGATAGAGGGGGAGAAAAATGTGGGACAAAACTCAAAATTGTAAAAAAGACAAAGCTTAGTAGTCTGGTAGAACCCCTGAGACTATGGCCCTTAGTTACCCTTTGAGCCTGGAAGTGAACTCACCCCTATGGTTGAACTTTCAGCCAAGTAATAGGCCTATGAGGCAAACACTAACACCAGGAAGGAATGTTCTTCTTAGAACAGTCAAACATATGAGATCAAATGGGCAGCATTTTCCCAGGGATAAAGATCAAAAGGCAAAGAATAGCAAAGAAGGATGAATGGAAATGGTAAACACAGGAAGGAAGTGGAATGTGTGCTATTATATTGTGGGTA